TCCGACGCAGACGGAGCAGCGGCTTCCGGCATCGGCCCGAGAGCCCAACGGCCGGAGGCAAAAAAAAACGCTCCCACGCATCTGAGGGAGACCCTGAAAACGGCATCGCTCCCCCTCCCCCCCCCCCCCCCCCCCACACACACACACACACACACACCGTCAACGCCAAACGAAAGCCACGAAGTCACCTATATTCTTGGCACGATCGCACACAAACAGCAACGAGAATCGCGGAATCCATTTCACGCCAGAACCAACCGCTTCAGATCCATTCAACGGGCGACACATCCACAGCGATTCCCGTCTACGATGACATGGTCGATATGAAATTCAAACCCTGGATTACCGAGATGGAACGCATATCCGCCCTTTGCGCACTGGACGCTTGACCTCACCTTGGACAACGCCATCTCCCGAGTCCGAGGATCGGCCAAGGATTGGCACACCTGGTACGGATCAAAAATCAACAACTGGGAATCTTGGAAGGCAGACCTCATGAAACGATTCGAGCGAAAAATGACTATGAAAGAATTCTTCTACTTCCAAGACGGGTGAAAGCTGTTGGAATGTGAGTTGATAGTCCCGTATATTTACGCGAAAAACGCCACGCTCGATATGGCTCCTTACAACTTGGCCATGGAGGAACGAATCTCGTTTATCTTCAACGGCACCAAAGGAGTTAAATGGGCCAATCCGCTGGCGGCAGATGCTACAAATCAGTCATCGAACTAATCGACCACGCCGTCATGCTTGCCTGCCGAAGACGAACCGAAAGTTCAGCAAAACACACGCAGCGGAGCAACCAAACTCGATCAGGAAATCCCAGAAACCAACGTCAATCGTCAGAACCACCATCTTCAGGCCCTTTCAAACGGACCTCTTCTCAGCGTTTCAATTGCCATGAGTCCGGTCACCTGCCGCGCGATTGCACGAAAGCTAAGACCAGCGCAGCACTCCGTGCAGAGGGATGACGTAACGCAGGCTCAACGCCATCCCGACAGAACCCAGTCGCAAATCGACAAGTGCGCTGTTTTCTAAGATCGAGTGGTGGCAGCCTTCCTTTTGTTAACGGATTTGTAGAAAGAGAGAGGCCCTTTAGAGTCTGCATTGATAGCGATGCCAACGTCTCTATCATCACACCATCCGCGGTACGCCGCGACATGAGCACGCGCCCTTGGAACGGACAAGAGCGCTTTCAAGTTCTCAATCGCAAGCTTGTACCGAAAAACGCGAGAACGCTAATTACCTTGGGTGCCACGCGAACGCGGCTTCCAAACGTTGTAATTAATCGCTTCGTTACACTGCCGGAGTTTGTCGGTGTGATTTCGGGATCTGACTGGCGCCGAAAAGCCAACGTTTGACGTCACGTTCCCCCCCTCGAATTATATCACGATCGTTCAGCTACGGGAAGATGACAGCGAACAATCAGCTCACGACATGACTAATTTAACCACTTCCACGCAGCCGAAAGACAGAACGGCGGAGACCTTAGTCGCTTCGTCCTGTGATCGACAAGCTACAACAACGACCGACTTCCAAAAGACAGAATACGTAAGATTCAACACGAAGCGAGAGACTCCCAACAAAAAGTTTCTGCATAACATCGAACAAGCGGTCTCGCGGATGACGAAAAACGCAACATCCGGCGACACGGACACGCATATCCGGTGTATTCTCAAACGACACAGCGACGCCTTCATGAGTGAAACTAATTCACTTGGACTTTGTCCACACGCCGAACACTCCATCAACTTGCAGGACAACGTACCAGTTGTGTCCCGAGCGTACAGATGCTCCCCAGTGGACCGGCAATTTATTCGCAACCAGGTCAACGACAACATGCAGAAGGGCAACATACAGCCGAGTGAGAGCGAGTATGCTGCGCCAATGATTGTCGTGGATCAGCCACACAACCTAACTCCCATGCCCATCATGGAAGGTGTGAATTACTTATTCAAATACCTTAAAGGGGCAGTGTAACGATATTCAATTGAAATGTTTTTCACTTCACACGACCTTACTGGCACTAGTGGGACTCAAGGATACTCGCACGCAACGCCACTGGCTAAGAAACTCCTTTGTTGCTGTGTAGTTTCAACGATAAAAGCGATCGTTTTCAGTCAATCTCTACTTTGCGAAACGTGATGACGTAACTGGGGGTCGCAGTGCACCCCAATCACGATATTTGAATGCGGTTCATAGAATAGACCAGAGCATTGCGTGCGCACTCGATTTGGGCTCGTGATAATTACTAGCTCGAGAAACATTCGGGTAGTGGCCCGTGTTGAATCGCTGCAACGGCGACAATAGCCGAGCCATAACAATGTCTGGAACTCAGCGCCTGTCCTGTGCCTTGCCAACCCCAGCGCGTGGCTATGATCAACATTGGCGGCATATAATCGGCTACAGATCACGTGGCCGCTTGTTCGGGCTGCAAGGTAAGGGGGTGAACGCTGCTCGTTTTTCTTTACTTTTTTTTCTGGGACTTCTATTGCGTGGGGTGAAAAACGAGCGCGTGTTTCGTAGGTAATTAATTTCAGGGATTCGTCCTAAGCGGTTTTAAAATAAGCCGTGAAAGCTACACTTATGCGGTTTGTGCGAATGAGTTATACGCCCAAGGGGACATTATGTGGGTGGCTAATCTTTGCGATAAGTCGGCTAATTAACTAAAATTCACTAATTAACTTTTTTAATTAATGAAAATAGACATATGGTTCCAATTAGAAACTTGCTGAGTGTCGTCCAAAACCCCTAAATCAGTAATTTTTAGAAAATCTTTGATCGCGTGAGAAGCGCAGTAGTGCGCTGAAGTTACCACTCGTGGAGCAGGTACGGGGCTGGGGCTATAGATAAGAGACGGAAAAATTGTGCGGGCGCCTTACCGAAACCGCTAGCCTTGTACCTGCTCCACGAGTGGTAACTTTAGTGCGCTACTACGCTTATCACGCGCTGAAAGTCTTTCTGAAAATGACTGATTTAGGGGTTCTGGACGACGCTCAGCAAGTTTCTAACTGGAACCTTATGTTTATTTTCACTAATTAAAAAATAATTTGTGAATTTTAATTAATTAGCGACTTATCGCAAAGATTAGCCACCCTCATAATGTCACCCCTGGGCGTATAACTCACTCTCACAAACCCCATAAATGTAGCTTTCATGTTTTTTTTTTTTTTTAACAAGTTTTTTAACAACTGCAAGTATAAAAAAAAAAAAAACCTGTATAAGGGGTGGGTAGACAACACAAAAACGGGGGCGGAAAAAACTCGCCGAGAAAAGGCGCATAAAACAATTCAAAGACAAGAACATCAAAGTAGATAAAAAAATATGCACACAAAATAGTTACACACTAATCTAGAATAAAGTTCCTTGAACTTTGTTACCTCACGAGTTGCGACAAAGTTTGAGAGATGACCGTTCCAATCAACGGCAGCGTGTAAAAATAACGAATTTTGAAACGTGGCTGTTCTGACTTTTGGGCATGCTACGTTAAGGGTACGGCCCGTACGACGATGACTGGGTACTGAAAATTAGATGTATGATGACCTGAGGTAAAGTTTGTGAAAAAGAGGTAGATTTGCAAGTTTGCGACGTCCAGAACAGAGAGAAAGACTGGCACGGGTTCTAAGAGAAGAGACGTTTGTGGTAGAAGAAGAATCTGAGTAAACGAAACGTAATGCACGCTTCTGGACTGATTAAATGTTATTGGTGAGATAAGTCTGATGTGGGTCCCAGATGGCAGATGTGAACTCGAGTATAGGACGGACGAGGGATGAGTAGACAAGCAGCTTTAGATGAGGAGGGTTGAGCTTTAAGTTACGCTTCAAATAGCTTAGAGATCGATTATCGGAGGAGATAGTACTGCTGATATGAGTGGCCCAGGGGAGATCAGATGAAAGGTGTACGCCGAGATACTTATACGAATCGTTATTTTGCAGTGGTGTGCTGTTAAGTGAATAGAAAAGTTCAGAAGGGTTGGAACGACGTGTAAATGATACGAGCTTGCACATCTGAACGTTGAGGGACATCTTCCAGTTTTCACACCGTGCTAGAATAGGAAAAAAATCATCTTGTATGAGTAGGTGATGGTGTGAGATAGTCACTTGATGGTAAATGACACACTCATCAGCTAAGAAACGAACATGCAATGAGATGGATGAGGGTAGATCATTAATGTATATTAAAAAAAGAAGTGGGCCGAGATCCGATTCCTGAGAAACACCTAAAATGACTTCTGCAAGAGATGATGATGCCTGGTTAGCGGTATTGACGATATCATGCGTGACCAGTCAAAGTACTTCAACATCATGGTTCATGGATGTGAAGACCACTTTCCTCACCGTACGCTTGAAGCCGGAGGATATCCACAAAACGGTATTCGTAACACCTGACGCAAAATGCGAATATCTCCGAATGGTATTCGGGTTTCGCAAAGCTCCGCAGACTATGCAGAAGGGGATGTGACGCACATTCGACGGACTGCCGCAAACTTCCACCGACATGGATGACGTTGGGCAACTACAGTGAAAGAATCACTAGAACCTTCCGACTCCGCTCTCGATAGGATCGTCACCAACGGACTCAAAATGGCTATCAAAAAATGTCAGCTGGTGAGTGACAATGTCACCTTGCTCGAATATGAAATATCATCACACGAACGCACGATCGATCAAGCACGAGTCGCCGCAGTCGGCAAGCTTGAACCGCACGTCAGCGCCAAGAAGCCGTACACGTTCCTACAGTTCGGTAACTACCGTAAGTGCGTCCCTGAGTTTGCATCCCGTACTCGTATACTAACAGGGTCGACTTTCTGAAGCTCGCTCTCAAACTCTCAAATTCTTGCAAATTTCGAACCAGACCGCGCAACGTATGCGCAGTGTGCTCGTTGACGCATGCCAGACAGGCCTCGGAGCTACACTTAGTCAATTGCAAGACGGCAAAGAACGGGGGATCGATTACGTCAGCCGACTTCTGAACGAACACGACACTAGCTTCACTCAAACATGATCGAGTCCATGGCGTTGCATTGGGCAGTGACAGATAAGTTGTCGATTATTCTCCGGGGTGGGCCGCGTTTCGCCGTGTTTACTAACAACTTCAGTGTTGCGTATTTCGCGCAAAAGGGAGCAATGAATCGCCGATTAGCTCGTTGGATGCTCGGTCTTGCTGAGTACACGTTCGACGTTGTTCACACACCAGGAAAATTGAACGAGGCAGCGGACACGCTCTCACGACAGGGAGAGATCGATACGATGCCAGGAGACAACCTCAAAACGGTAGCGGCGGGTCAGGGATTGGCATTCTATGCCGTCGTGGCAGGAGATCACAGTCACCTGAGCGACTTGCAAGCAAGAGACGCAGAATTCCAAAGCTTTATTTCCCAAGCAAACAGCGGCAACAGCGCCTATAAGATCAAGAACGGTATCCCAACGAAAAAAAAAAAAAAAAGCACAGAGCACGGACATTTCGTGAAGCGAATCGTTGTCCCAGCTACACTTCGCGGGTCCGTCATGACGATCGTTCAAGACAACGGAGGACACATGGGATACGAGAAGACGAAGGAACTCATCCAAAGGAAATTCTGGTGACCAGCTATGTCAAACGATGTGCGCCGCTATGTAGGGTCTTGCTATACGTGTTAGTTCATCAACGCACGCGCCACACGAAACGAAGGCAGCTTGAAACTTCGCCCCGTTCCAAATGAGCTCAACGTGGTGATTTGGCTTGATCACTTCGAACCAGTCGGCACAAGCGAAGACAACGAGTACATTCTCGTGTGCATAGACCCCGCGACAAGGTACATGGATGCTTTGCAGTTGCCAGCGCTGCATCAAAGCACTACATCGACTTCCTAATGAACCGCTGGATCCCACGCTTTGAGGTGCCCGAAGTTATAATCACAGACCAAACCAGAGGATTCGCTGAGAAACGAACTACAGCACTCTATTGTCGACTCGGCATTTCTCACATCAACACGGCTCCGTTCGGGCCAAAACCTAATGGTCTTGTGGAGAGATTGGTTGGAACACTGAAGCAAATGTTACGCAAGGTCGTCGGACACGGTCGCGACTGGAGCAAGGTGCTGAATGCTGCTACACTTGCGATAAACGTCACTGAGTACAAGCAAAGCGATCGGAGTCCCTTCTGGCTTTTGCACGGCTACAACCCGAAAGAGATTAACATCAACTTAGTGGTAGCAGAGATCACGGAGAGTGAAAGGCTTCACGAGCTCGCAAGGGGTCACACGAGTACCAGATCTAGCCTGGAAGACAGCCAAGGGTACTTGAAACTTCGATACAAGAGAGAGAATCAAACTCCTCGATTCAGCGCTGGCGACAGCGTTCTTGAGATTGACGTAGGCAGCACGCTGGACGCTCGAAACGACGGTCCCTTGAAGATAACGGCCGTTCCCTGGAGACGACATCGTCGGCCTAGAGAGAACATCACCAGCAGCACGGGAATAAAACACGAAGGTGGTGAACCTCGAACAGATCAGGCATTACAACGAACCGGAGCTCAACCCTGCAGAGTTGTCCGAGACGGCGGCGGGACCAACAAAGGACCAACCTAAACGCACATCTATTTTTTTTTTTTTTTTTTTAGATTGTTGTTGTTAGCAGCGCGACGGCTCCGCACTGGTACCACAGATTGGGCCCGATTTGGACGAACAACTCGGCGATCTCTCTGCAGAGAGACCGCCGAGTTCTTCGTCCAAACACGGCTTTCCCGTTGCACTTCCGTGGAGGATACCAAAAATGCATAGAACCTTAGCCATATACAGCTTGGCGGTAATAGAAGATTAAAAGAAACAAGGATTTGATGGTAAAGACTACATTAATTTTTAAAATTATAACCAAACAGATATGTCAATTACGGAGACAAGAGCGCAATCTCTTGTCGATTTAAAAGTTGGAACGGCTATGTAAATTCCGAACTCTCCGGAATTGACATACCGTAGAATACCACGCATCCGCGCATCCGCCCATTCCACATTAAGCGCCCACACCCAAATTTGTAAGATCTGAGGAAATACGGGCAGTACATTTATATGCAAAATTTATGACTAGACACGCTCCCGTCCCCTATTTTTTTGCGATCATCTTTAAGTATTGAGTGGGCGCTTGCGCGGTATTTCGCGGTAATCGTGTAGTCATAATTTTAGCAAATAATGAAGTTTTTACTCAATATATATGTATTTCTTTCATTTCTTGCCCCCTTTCTGTGTCTCTTTCTTTCGTTCTTTACTGTGGGGTGTGATTCCGAAAAAAGACTGACGTGGCGCTTGTTGCTAGTTGAAAGTGCACTACGTCATCCGTCGTCCCGCCTTTGTCAACACGCTCTTCTGTCTAGATTGTCGTATATTCAATAGCGATGTTGTCTTGACCTCGTCATTCACAAAGCTTCTTTCGTTCTGTGCAAGGTCTCTGCGGGAGGGAGGTCGCATGGGCAGGTTTAAGAGTTCGCTTTCCTTCGCCCACTTTCCTTATGTTTTCTTTCTTTCATAAAAATAAATAAATATTAATAAAAAATTTACTTACGAAGAAGAAAAAAAAAGGGGGGGGGGGGGGGAGGTGCTGAGATGTGGCCTTTCGTGACACCCCTAAAAGTGGATGACGAACCCCTGTTTCTTGCAGGCGGACCATCGTGTGGCGCCATCTTGGAGGGAGCGGCTGCACTTCTCGGTGTCTCGAGCCACGCTGTCGCTGGCAGCTGTGACGTCGAAAGACGACGGCCTCTACTTGTGCCAGGTGCAGTTCCCTGCAGCGCGAGAGAGGACTTCCAACGTAAGACTCCTGGTGGTCGGTGAGTTGAGGCTGCTTGTCACGCTTTGCCCAGTTTCGACTGGGTTTTACGTGTCCGGCTGTCTTTGCTTGTACCTCGACGACGAAATTGCGTCAATTCCGCACACTCTTTTGTTTATATCTCTTGTTGTTTTTTGCTTTTTTTTTTTTTTTAGAAAACAAATGTCAATTTAAGATCTTTAAACGTGTATTCAATAGTTCGGTGTATGTATAGCTGCGTTTATTGCAATGTGGGCAAAAGCGCCCTGGAGAAATTAGTGCAACAGTACTCTGGGAAAACTACTGAAGTTCCTGACAACTTGAGATTCTAGAGACGCCGGGTCTGGCGAATCTTGAACATCTTGTAGTCGCTCCGTAGCTAAGCAGGTTGAAACGTCAGTCGTTAGGAGCGTCGGAGGACCAATCACGATTTAAGAGGCGTGCGCATCATATAAATATGAGGATTCCGTGCTTTCGGAGTTTATTTGTTGACAAATTCGGAGGTTGTTTTTCGGAATTTATTTTTCGCTGGAAATTCGGGGTTTATCGCGGTTTATTTTTGTTAGATTAACAATTCTCCCAAACTCGCAACTTTATTTTGATCTGTTTTTTTTGTTTTTTTCCAAAATAAAAATTAGTTTTCGGACAACACCGTACACTAAATTCATTAAAAAATCACCGGTATCGAAAGATATTCCTGCAGCTGCATTTAACATTGGCGCCTTTGCAATTGGCTGTACTAACTGTCCCTCGACAAATCTTGAAAACAAGTGTTACTTCAATAGACGTCGGTACTTTGAAATAGCCAAACACGCATAAAACCTTCAGCTGCCCTCCCCATTCTATGAAATCTACATGTTTACATCTTTCCACTGTTACAAAAACACAACCCCTCCTCCTCCTGAAGCACACGTAGTACGGTCCAAACTGGATACCGGACTCGTGGCTTTTGTCGTGGTCTAGAACGACATTGGTTCATTATGTAGGAAATAGCGCAAAATTAAATTCACTCAAACATAAAATACCCGCACACTGAAAAAAAAAAGATCACTTACGCCGCGCTAACTTACAACTCAGTTTGTATTTTCGTCTTCTTCCTTTTTTCTTTGACGCGTATGAACATTTATTATATCTCGCTTCGGTTGTCTTCTGTGCCAACTAAATGGCAATGTCTATTACATATAGTACCCTCGAGTGTCAAAATATAACAAGTCTTTTTCAGTAAGCGCAATAGACGGACTACTAACAGAATCATCACTCATTGTCATCATGTTAGCTGCCTCATTAATCTCACGTCTTAATTGGTGATAGTTCTTTCCTATTGCGGTGCTATTTTGAAGTCCGCAGTGCACCCACAGTCACGGCAGTAAATCCCCAAAAGTACTGAGTTAGCTATTTGGGTGCTATTGTTATGCTCTATAAATCTGTAATTTACACATCTTCTAGTTGTGTTCTGTTTGCTGCATGAAAAGGGAAGGGAATAAACCCCTCCTTCTGAGCGAGGGATATATGCAGTTCTATGTTTTTTTGTTTTTTTTTTGCATAGCATGTAATAGTTTTTGGTAAGGCGGTAACTTTTTTACATAAACCTGAGTGTTTGTTGTGGGCTGAAAAGACTACATCAATATTTGCGCGGTTCCCAATCTCCTTAAGGTTATGGAAAATGTTATGAATGTTGGTGATGAACTACCGGTCTATGGTTACTGTTACTGTCGCGTGACTTGCGGGGAGTGGTTTCACCTTTTTCAATCGGTTGAAGGAGACTTTAGGCGACTGAAGTTAATAGATGTGAAGGATATCCCGCACTGCGTGTATTTTCAGTGTGAGTGAGTTTAATTTTGCGCTTTTTCCTACATGATGAATACCGAACTCGCCCAAGCATCCATCCCAAGAAATTGGATCATTGTACCAAATACGATATAGCTTCGCCAATACTGGAAACTCCCCACAAAACCTATGGGAGCGGTGGCGAACGCGACAGTGGCGCCTCTAGCGGACTCAGAGTCTACGGAAGCAGACGACGCAATAGAAAAGTATAGGCTCCGCGACGTCCTCGAGCTTTGCGAGCCCCGTTTCGTCACCCCAACAGCTGAAACAATTCATTATGGTCAGTCGGCTTGCAAAGCGGAATCCACTGTTCGTAACTGCAACCACAATCAAATAACAACGCGCGGGGCGGCCTTGGGAGCATTGAGAATGAGTGGTAGTCGCGGTCTTTGTTAAGTCCACAACAAAGCGGAAGCAACACGACGGAACTCTTTTTAAAAAATTCAAGAAAGCTTCACTTTTTTTTTTAGCTGCTTGTTAACATATTTGATTAATATCAAAAAGCACATATGGAGATTTCGGAGTACAAACTTAATCGAAACGAAAATAGAAGGGTATGGCAGACGACAGTGGAAGAAAACAACAACGACAGCAACATAGTTTCACACGGTCCTCAAAATGCTCAGGCATAGCGTAGCAGACGAACCTACGGCAATAAGCGCCAAAGCGAAGGAAAGAGAGTAACCTAAGCCAAACAATGCAAATCGTCAAGCTTAATTGTCAAGTAAAGAAAAAAGAGAAAAAAAACAAAAAAGAGTAGAAGCATAAAGAAAAAAGAACGCGGCGTGTACCGTCGCCTCAAACATAAAACGAAAGTAGACTGAAAATTTTAAGAGGTTACAAGATGGTCAAGTCCAACGGGTGCAGGCCTGTATTGTGGAAGACGCAGAAGACGTTAGTCGTCCCGGCGCTAACAATCAGAGTTTATGCACCGAATGTAACGCAACCGAAACCACCTTTATTTGTCTACAACGCTCTCCTCTCTTTCTTTTGCTCGCGCGAGAAGTCTGCTTTTTTGTAACTTCGCTTTTATTAGTGTAGTAATAGCGTGAGATTTGCATGTGCACAATCGACTTGCACAATCGACTTGCTCCAGAGCATACTGACATCGCAGTAACGTACGTGGTTCAAAAATTACCTTTTGCTTCTTCATCCGGAGACGATCTTAAGGAGATTAACCAGGTTGCCTATTCGGCAAAACGGTTATAAGCAAGACATTCATGAGAAATGGGAATTGCAACAACAAAACGAACTGATTGATGAGAACAGTAAAGTTGAAACGTAGCTACGTTTTGAAATTTTTGTACATAGCCTTAAAACAAAAGCAGCGCGAAGGTACGTTTGTGTTTTGCCTGTCTTACATAATCTCTGACAAAGTGTTTTCTTCAGGAGAGCCCCGAAATTGCACCCTACAAGCTGTAACATATCCTTCCCACACGAAGCAAACGTCCTTCACTAGTGAGGTGGCACCTATTTTTTAGCATTTAAAGCAGGGAATACCAATGTCTTTTTTTTTTTTCATTGGTCATTTTGCACGGAGATAGGCAAAACCAATGCGTTGTGGAAAATTCGTCTGCTAGAGGAGACTCCAAACTCGCCAGGGGCGCTGCGATCACTTTTCGCTTGCGCTCCGCGGGAGTTGCCAGTATTGGCTAATATGGGATTTGATTGTACAGAACGAACATTGCGAGATAAACGGGAAACTTACTCTTGGCAATAGCTCAAAATTAAAAAGAAAAAACAACTGAATTGGCATTTACTCGGAACTACTAGCCCTGTGCTCTAACAAACTTGATTCGTAAAATGGTGTCTTTTTCTTTTTTTTTTTTTTTTCTTTCCGATTATGAAATTTTGAGTTTTCTCTATATATCCGAATTGCCGAAACTTTTACCGTCCAGTGTGTTTTGGACTATATCCAATTTATCCGAACACACGGAACTCGAAATATAAGCCACAACCTGCGTTTCTTCAACTGTCAGTGACTACAATTGCAGACGAAAGGGGATTGTTCATGATAGGGCGATGCAGCAGGTGTTGCAGGTGTTTAACCCCCCCCCCCCCCCCCCCCCCCTTTCACCAAAATAAAAGAAAGTGTTTCTACTGAAAATAAAATTTATTTACGCATCACTAAATAAGGCTCAGTCTCCGCCCAAACGTAACGCTAACGGTTAGGAAGCGGTTCCATAGTTTCAGGACTTACAATGATCTTATACAAAAGTTATAAACGACTTACAGGACTCTTAATTTTAAAAAAAATTGCGGCCAATGAAGCCTGCGAATGCATGGAGATGAAATGCGTCTGCTACCGCAAACGGGCCCCATTTTCTTATGGAACATTTTTGAAGATCGCTCCTAGCTTTTGATTGAGAAAACCATAAATCCTGAAACTTTGCAATCTGGTCCCAACGCTAGCGCTACATACGAGCGGAAACTGCGCATTCGGTGACGCGTAGTTTATTTTAGCGGTGAGGAAAAAAACACGGCTTTCTTTTCTCTCATACACCCCACCCCGTACATAGGATTCGATATAATTGATGTGCCTTTACTTTTCATATGAATAAAGTTAAATCAACCATTTACGATAACGAAAGAGGGACGCTGAAGATAAAGAGACAACACAGGCCTGTGTTGTCTGTTTGTCTTCAGTGTCCATCTTTCGTTACCGTAAATTAGAAACCAACGCGCTGAACCATCTACACTAAACCAATCACTTTCGAAACTCCTTGGGCAACAGGATCGTATGCTCGCATCAATACGGTTTTGAAGCGCCCCCCTGCGGTCCTATTCACAACGCGGTGTGCAGGTCATCTGGTGCAACTGCGCAGGTGTAGTTTCATTGGTCGTGAACAAAAATGACGGGAAAACGTGTGCGTAGGTCAGCTTGGCTTGACACGCCATGAAAACACTTATTTCCCGTTTCTGCTGAGCCAAATCGTTTATGGGGCTCACGTGCGCATCAGCAAATATACTCACGTACTTTGGGGCGAGCACATGAGTTTTCTATGCGGCCAGGCTGAGCCCTAGCAATAGTCGACGTTTAAAAAACTAACTCATATACCTACAAAAAGCAACAACATCTACAGTAGAATTGGTGTATGTATAAAAATAAATAACAAAAAAAAAGGCAGTCGAGCTGGTAAATTTTTGCCATTATCGAAAACTCTAGATGCAGGAAACAAGAAATATATTGGATAT